CCAGGGTGAAGGAGACCTAAGGGGGGGGTCGGGGGGTGGAATGGGGCCATGAGTGGGGTGGGATGGGGGCATGGGGGTCTCAAGGGGGGGGGACTTGGTCCCCTACCTTGGCCAGTGAGCGGAAGACGGGGTAGCCAACGCTGCAGAGCCGGCGGTGACCGGCCAGCGCCGTGCACTCCAGCTTCACCGAGCTGGTGTCCTGCAGAGGGGGGGGACATGGAGATGGGGGGGGTCAGGCTGAGCACAGGTATGAGGGGTCCACATGGACCCTCAACCCTGGGATGGGTTGGGGGGGGATCAATATAGGGCCACATGGACCCCCTTCTCCCACCTGGGATGAGTTGAGGGACCCATATGGGCTATATGGCCCCCCCATCTCCCACCTGGGATGGGTCAGGGGTCCCATAGGACCCTCCTGTCTCACCTGGGATGGGTCGGGGGGACACTTATGGGCCATATGGACCTCCACCTCCCAGCCAGGATGGGTTGGGGGGCTCCTATGGGGCCATATAGACCCCCACCTCCTATCTCGGATGGGTTGAGGGACACATATGGGCCAAATGGACCCCCACCTCCAACTCTGGATGGGTTGGGGGGCTCCTATGGGGCCATATAGACCCCCACCTCCTATCTCGGATGGGTTGAGGGACACATATGGGCCAAATGGACCCCCATCTCCCATCCAGGATGGGCTAGGGGGCTCATATGGGGCCATAGAGACCCCCACCTCCTATCTCGGATGGGTTGAGGGACACATATGGGCCAAATGGACCCCCATCTCCCATCCAGGATGGGTTGGGGGGCTCATAAGGGGCCATATAGACTCCCACCTCTTATCTCAGATGGGTTGGGGGACCCATATGGGCCATATGGACCCCCACCTCCCACCCAGGATGGGTGGGGGGCTCATATGGGGCCCAATGGACCCCCCCACCTCCCACCTGGGATGGGTTGGAGGTGAGAACGGGCTGAAGGATCTAATAAGACTGGAGAGACCTCCCCAATCTTTGTCCTGGGATGGGCTGGAGGGTCTATAGAGGGCTGGAAGGACTATGATGTCTGAGAGGTTGGGGAGGGGGCCCATGTGGGTCTAGGAGACCCCCCTCCTGCTCCCCCCATGGCCCCGTACCTGGAGCACGAGGCTGGAGAAGTGGAGGTTGCTGGAGAAGCGGAGGAGCAGGCTGGCGTTGTAGGCGTTCTCCTTCTTGTTCTCCAGGACCACGTCCACCACCACTTTCCTCCTGCCCTTGCGCAGGACGTGGGGGCTCTGCCTGCGACCACCAAGGAGGTTATGACCCCCCCCTTCCCAGGGGGTTCCTCCAGGGACACGTCTCAGCCCCGGGGACACCTCGGGGACACCCCATACCTGGAGCCTGCGATGTCCATGGTGGCCTTGAGCACCAGGTCCGTGACACACTCATCATCCTCCCCACAGTCCTTGAAGAAGGGGATCTGGAAGGAGCCGGGGTGTGATCCCAAGGCTGGAAGCACCACGGAGGGGGACAGTGGGGGGTGATCTTGGATCCCACCACCCCCACCAGCACCCACCAGTTTCCGGATGGTGGTGGGGGACGCCTCATCCAACACCGGCCCCGTGGATTCGGCCATGGCCAACCTCACCGTGAAGCTGAGGGGTCGCAGATAGTCCGTGGTGTCCTGGGATGGGGTGGAAAGGGTCCCCATTAGGCCCCCCCACACCCCCCTATGCTGCTGGGGTGGAAAAAGCCCCCGGTGTCCCAGGGAGGAGGTCCCTCTCACCAGGACGTGGAAGGGGAAGCGGAGGCAGCTCTGTCTCCCCAGGGAGAGCTCCAGGCGCCGCTGCAGCAGCCGCCGGGCGCCCGAGTCGAAGGCAGCTCGAGCTCCTGGGGTCTTCTCCTCCAGGGACACGTTGTACCGGAGCTCTGGGACTATGCTGCTGGGGGTGGGGAGGGGGGGTGGAAAAGGCCACCCATGTCCCAGGGAGGTCCCTCTCACCAGGACGTGGAAGGGGAAGCGGAGGCAGCTCTGTCTCCCCAGGGAGAGCTCCAGGCGCCGCTGCAGCAGCCGCCGGGCGCCCGAGTCGAAGGCAGCTCGAGCTCCTGGGGTCTTCTCCTCCAGGGACACGTTGTACCGGAGCTCTGGGGGGGGACAAGGATGGGGGGTCAGCAGCTGGGGACACCCACCGGGCTGGGGACACCCTGGAGAAGCTCCAAGGATGCATCAGGGAAGCTCCAAGGATGCATCAGGGATGCTCCCAGGTCACCCTGAGGATGCTCTTGAGATGCTCCAGGGATGGTGGATGGATGCTCTGGTGATATTCAAGGGACACCCCAGGAATGCTCTGGGGAATCCCAGAGGACACTCTAGGGATACTCCAGGGATGCTCCCAGGTCACCCTGAGGATGCTCCAGGGATGGCATATGGATGCTCCAGTGACATCCAGGGGACACCCCAGGAATGCTCTTGGATAACCCAAGGGATGCTCTGGAGAAGCCCTGGAGATGTTTCAGGGACACCTGGGGATGCTTCAAGATTGTCATATGGATGCTCTGGGGACACCCCAGGGATGGTCCTGGGTGGCTCCGGGGATGCTCTTGGGAAGGAAGCCCTGGAGATTCTTCAGGGACACCTTGGGATGCTCTTGGGATGCTCCAGGGATGGCATATGGATGCTCTGGTGACAGCCAGGGGACACCCCAGGAATGCTCTCGGATAACCCAAGGGATGTTCTGGGGAAGCCCTGGAGATTCTTCAGGGACCCCTTGGGATGCTCTTGGGAAGGAAGCCCTGGAGATTCTTCAGGGACACCTTGGGATGCTCTTGGGATGCTCCAGGGATGGCATATGGATGCTCTGGTGACAGCCAGGGGACACCCCAGGAATGCTCTCGGATAACCCAAGGGATGTTCTGGGGAAGCCCTGGAGATGCTCCAGGGACACCTTGGG